TATAATCAACTGTTTCTGAGACGTGTTGCCCAAATTTTGCAAGTGCATTTGACATTATGTAACAAGGGCACAGCAATACCAAATTTCAAAACACAATTGCCAAACCATTGGACTAATTGCCATTTGGAAATTTATTAGCACCAGTTCCTATTGCATCGTATCAGCACACAAAGTTTTTGGCTTAATTAAAATACACAGATTGACTCTAAACAATAATCAGTCATGTAACTATGCAAGTAGTTATTTAGTATAGGCACAAATTAGAAAATTAATCCAGCAAATAATAAATGCTAATGTGCACTTCTAATAGAACAAATATGATAATGTTTTCATCTCACCTGCAAAGGCCATGCAAACATGATCATCAAGAATGCATATTTTCCTAACTGTTCGTTCTTCTTGCAGCTTGGCCACAGATTTCCTTTCCACACCAAGAACCACAATATCTTTACCACGAACACCAACCTATGAGATAATCAAAGATAATTAGCTGTGCAGTTGCGCATTGCATTGTGGCATTCCAGCAGAGATGATAAAGTTGTTAGGGGACTGGCAGAGTGAGGCATTCCGCAAGTATCTTCACCCATCTCTTCCTTCCAGGGTTCATTCTATATATCAATTTGCCACAGCCCTACCCTCTACGAGTACTCCTACCTGAATTCTGTTGCACATTGTGCTCACTAGTGTCCTGGGTATTTGGGGTTTTAGTTTGTTTTCATTGTTGTGTTTTAGTAGTAGTCTTAGTTTGCCAGTGTTTGGCCATATTTCAGCAACCTTGTGGTTGCCATGGCAACAGATTTACTCAGCAGTGTCTCTTTATTGGCCAAACTCTGGCCCCCTAGTTTTGTTACTAGTATTTAGAATAGAATAAACCTACCCCTATTGGATCCCAGACACTTGTGTGTGACTGTGCATCATTATTCACCCCCCTTGTGGTATGCAGCCCTATCGCAACCTGGATTTAAGTTATACAGAAAACTGAACACAAAGGATAAATCAAAGAAAGCTTAGAAAGAACTCCCGTGTGCTGAGAGTATTGAAGAAACATTAAAATTAATTCAAAATTACTTGTACATGAGATATTGATGGAAAAGCTGAAAACTAATTATGTAAATAAGGTAACTAATATGAACAGAACGGAACAAAAAAATTATGAATTATTATGTTAATTAGAGAATTAATATTAATCAAAATTAATCAGGCCTGTCTATTGTCCTAGAGCATTTATGTACCAAATTTTATTCAAATGTGATGATCAGTAATTGAGATATCAGTGTTAATTAATTATGTTAATTAGGTGATTAATAAGCATAAATATTTACCAAAAACTAATTAGGTTTCTGCATAGTTCTCTTTTAAAGTTTCATTAAAATCCAATTTGTGGTTCTTTATATATCAGTGGAACATTATGCAAATTAGGTAATTAATATCCAATTAAAACTAATCAGGTGTCTGCATAATCCTAAAAGATCTATGTAGCAAGTCTTGTGGGGGAAAACTGCCACAAACAGTATAGGATCTTTAAATCTCACCAGATAGACTGTAGATACATCAAGCAGTAGACGGTATACCAGTGTGCAATGTT